AAAGACACTAATCTTAGTCAACCCCTCCTGAAATCCCCCAAAGAATGTCCTAACGAGCAAACTTTCTGCAAATGTGCGATCACCAAAAGTTTGTGCGTTTGCTGCTCAACTCTTTGGTTCAGGTTTGTTGATTCAGAGCTCAGCTGTGATGTTGGTCAATTTCAGTGAATGTATGGCCACGGCAGGAAACCTTCTGGAGAGACGAACTTTTCCCTCAACAACTTGGCTCGGCTGACGCTCTTATCTTGCTGTGGTTAATGTGGGGGAAATGGAAACATGGGAAATGTTGTTTCCACGAAAGTGTATCGATTAGCAAATATGTGAGACACCAAGAAGCATGTTAACCCCACATTACATTACATTACATTACATTGCATTTAGCTGACGCTTTTATCCAAAGCGACTTACAATAAGTACATTCGACCAGGAAGACACAACCTTGAAGAAAACAGAATCATATAAGTACATCAGGTTTCATAGAGCCAAACATTTCAAGTGCTACTCAACTGGCTTTAGGTAAGCCAGTCCTTTATTAGTATAAAAGTGCTTCGTTAATAGTTCTAACGCTCGAAGTGGAGTCGAAAGAGATGAGTTTTCAGTTTGCGCCGGAAGATGTGCAAGCTATCTGCTGTCCTGATGTCAATGGGGAGCTCATTCCACCGTCTTGGAGCCAGGACAGCAAACCCACGTGTTTTCGCCGATGGGAACTTGGGTCCCCCTCGCAACATGTAGGTTTAACTTCACATACCACAACACAACAGGTAGAATAACCATGTAATGGTTATTTTTAGCTTAATCTGGCTATATACATAATGTATTATTGGACCGTTTTTTTTCTTTCTTTTTACTTTAACCATGAATATAATAAGGAACTGCGCATTTAAACTTGATCTAGGTTTTTTATTTTAAAACGTCAACAACTAAATTAATTACAATAAGTTTACCCTTATAAAGGATTCAAAAAGGGTTTATAATTAGGTTATTAATTAGGTTGTAAACACTTTATTAATCATTAAGAACCATTTATAAACCAGTTCTAACATAGTTTTCATACATCAACACAGGCTCACTATTTGGCAAGATGACTACGCCTTATATTGGCTACCTAGCTTACTTCGTCTTCTTCATCTGCCAACATCCTTGGTATCTGTTGTTCACTGAGTTGATTCCCCCCTTCCATCTTGATGTTTCTTGGCATCTCTTTATGACCATTTATTTACGAGTTACTAACATTTATAACTGCCAAAAGGGAGCCTTATCGTAAAGTGTAAAACACTACCATTTCTAATAAGGTTTAGCAGTACAGATACATGTGGGCTCACTATTTGGCAAGCAACCGGTCACAGTTGCCCTGTTTATCTCATGTCTTATAAAAGCTTATTAATGATGTATAAAGTATTCACAACCTAATTAATAAATGAAGTACAAACTATTTGTAAACCCTTTATAAGAGTCTTATTGTAAAGTGGTACGCACATATTACAAACAGTTATAATAGGGTTACAACAGCATAACGAGATGTGTACCTGCTATTGCACAGGAAATAAATGTCACCAATGTCTAAACTCACTTTCATTAATAATCCACGTAAAAGGCCCCTTAGTTCCAACTACCAGATATCAACACTAGTCATTTAGACAGATACAACCCTCACATGCTGTATCATTTACTTTTAAGACATGTTATGGACACATTTCTGTTGCCTTACAGAGAATCAATGTTTTTTTCAACAATGTGAATCTGAGGTTTCAGCTCAGTGTGCATGTTTTATTTCACAAAACATATAAATTATGGATGTACAGTCAAGAAATCAAACAACTCACAACAACACAAACTTTACTATAGAGCCACACTTACTAGCCACATTAAGTAATACAGACATCTAAGAATTCATCACAAATGTATTCACTTCTGTTCACCAAAATAACCCTCAGTCACGTGCATCTGGAAATTGACATTTGACTTGAGGCAGCCCTTACATTTAAAAATGTAACAGTTGGGGAGTCTGATTGCATAACTAATCTGCCAACAGATTACCACAAACTCATTAACTATGAAGTCATGATGTGTCCCGGTAGACTTATAATACCCTTTTCACAAACCGTCCATATTGTCCTGAGTTAGAGCTCAGTGTGCCGTACCGTTACAGACTTCCTCACATACAGACAAAAGAGCTGCAGAGTGGATGCTTATCACTGCTCTGACACTGCTCAATATTACAGATAAAATACAACATTTTGAGCATATGATGTGTGTATCAGATATTTCGTCTTATGCCCAATCACAATATACAATGTTCACAGTCAGGTTCATAGAGCTGCACAGTCCCAGTTTCACAATGCAAACGTTTAAATACAACAATCTGTTAATCTTCTGCAGCTGAGTGTGAGGAAATAATAGCCGGCCTAAACCAATATCACCAACAACATGAATAGAGTGGATTGATCGATTGCAAATATCCTCAAAGCCAACGTCACAGATGTACTTTTAAATTTAGAGAAGATTTATCTGAACAACTTTATTTTTTGTACTTTCCTTTCGTGTACTGTTTGATGCCTAGTTGACAACAAACTATTCTTTAGCACAATAAAGCCTTATCTTCCAGGAAGAAATCCTTATCTCATTTACTTTGTTAATCAATATCAGCTTAGCAGGAGGCTAGCAACAAATGAGGAAATGAACTGTAACTCAATTGAATCAAATATTACAAACCCTGTCTGTAATATTTCTTTTTTATTTCTCCAAAGTGCTTGCAAACTTGCAGTGCGTACACATTGATGCATTGACCAATAGTTAATCACACCGTCATAATCTGTTGGTTTGGCAACTAAACAATGGTCCACTGTTAACCTTTACACCGACAGACTGCAGAGAACAGGAGTAAGATGAAAAACTGAACTAATGTTTTGGTTTATTCCTGTCAAGTATCACAGAAATACGGCATTAGGGTGCTTTTTCTCCTCAACAACTAAGAGGGAGGAGTATTCATTATTATTCCACTGTAATTTGATGCTAGATATTTTTGTCCCATTTTACATTTACCATGAGAACATAATGCCATGATGGAAAGTAACTGCACATTCACTTGTATTGTCATCTCTACACACAAACAATAATATAACTGAAATAAGTGTGTGTACAATGTATAATTGACACTTTGATCAATTTGCTGATATATGTTATTGCTGAATAATTCATGCACTTTTATTTAAGCAATATTTTGAATGCAGGACTTTTTGGAATATTTTTTAATTGGTGTTTCTACTTTAACTTAAAGGTCCCTATTATACTGTTTTCCATCAATATATTATAGGTCTCAGATATATACAAAACATTTCTCGGAAGTGTTTGGTTTGAAATACCAAAACAGATCGTGCATTGCAGCTTCCCATAATCCCCTCTGTTTCAGCCCTGTTTCAAAAATCCTGATTCTCTGTCTGTTACTTTAGATGAAAATAAGGAGCCACTCCCCACGGCCCTCTGAGAGATATTTGGTTAAAAATAACACAAAAGTGCTCTAGGAGGAGATTCGGGTGATACATTGGGGGGGGGGGGGGTTATTGGCTAATGGTTACACAAGCCAAAACAATCGTTATGACATCATAACGTGGCCACAATCTGATCAGCTCATTTTCAGACAGGTTTTTATATAAATGGATATATTATATGGTATTTTTTCCTGAAACTTCAAAATCTCTTTACACAGAGGGGACGTGAAAAAGTGGATTTTACATAATAGGTCCCCTTGTTGAGCAGTTGGGCATCCAATTTTGTCCAATTGCATTTCTGTACTATTTCACTTTCTCCAGATAGTGGGATTTTCAAGCTGTGCACAGACTTGGGTTATGACAACATTTATTCTTGGATCTATGTTTTTCCTTTGGCCTTGGACAACCCTCCTGAAAGAAATAGAACAAAGATGTATTAATAAGAGACGGAGAGATGACTGGATTAAAGGATTTCAAATCCTGTTGCACGGCAGTGTCTAAACCTCTGCACCTAGGAAAAAACTCAGAAACCGTGACAACACTTCTGTCCTCATAAAGTGTGTCATAGATAAAATACTAACATGTTCTACAGAATATTAATGCAAATGATAATAACATAATACAGCATCATAAATAAATAATAATGCAAGAATATTCTCACATGATTACATTTTACACTACTAAAAAGCATGGTTTATTTTATATTGATTTAAACTCAGTGATCAACTGCATATGGTTACATAGTGATATATTTGTTCTTGTTTAAAGTTTGGGATTAATATAAAGAAAGTGAGTAACACAACACAGTAGGTGCCTGCAGAAACTCTCCACTGCCATCTAGTGGTCGTGTATTGCACATTTTCTGAATGCTGATTCAACCTGTCTGCATGTATTAAACATTATTAATGCACCACGTAAATAAACAGCCATTATTTTAGTACAGGCTAACATGCCAACAAAAGATGAACATGTCCTGAAACTGTAAAACATTCCTGGGTTTTCATATCAGAGTTGTGTCCTACTTTGAGGTAAGAGTCCCATCACTTTAATAGTGTTTACTCAAAAAAATATATATATTTCATTTGTGTCTAGGAATTCGTCTTTTTAAATGATTCTATCTGACAAAATAAATTGTTTCAATTATCCAATAAAAGGTCAACTATATGCAGATAGAGTTGTATCTACCTGCAGCTTCCACTTTATTTACAGTTTTACGTATCTACAATAAACCATCCAATCAACTATTGGAAAGTATTTTTCAGAGAATAAAAGTAAAAACGGTGCAGCCTATCAGCGTTCAGGAAGCAATAGCCTTATCGTGTGATTGCAAATAACCCAAGTCCCTTCACTAATCCCTGCCTATCCTTTTTATCTCAGGATTCAGACCAGTCGTATGGAGCTGTGAGCCTGCAATCCACCACGATGCATCCCATGCCCCGTTAACCGCGAGCTGTAGCGCCTTTTTTAATTGTAGTTTAGCTGCTTAGCCTTTTGTAGCTTGCAGGAGTAAAAATGAGTCGACATTTTACTGCTGCTTTTTGTCTGGCTTTAGTTTGTCTCCCTTTGCTGTGCAGTTCATGTCCTGCACAATGCAGCTGCTTCTACCACAAATTAAGCGACGGATCAAAAGCAAGGTAAATATGTCAATTTATTAAATTAAGCATTATTGTCGTTGGATTTAACTCTCAGTAGGCCCTACATGTTTTATTCTTTAGTGCGTGCCAAAGTGATTTTCACGGAAGCCTTCTTCTGTCCTGTCACTCTGTATAATGGAGGATTAACTTGGAGTGGCCCTTTAATCTCCTTTGCTTGTTACTGAACAATAGGTTACTACGTTTTTCTCAAATATCTGCAGAACTGTGTTATTTTAAATCCAAAATGAAGGCTGAAAATATATATTTTGTATTATTAAATCCACTGCAGCAAACCCCTCCAATTTTAAAGAAGCATTGATTTAGTTCCTCCTAACTGAACATTTCATTGATTATATTTGTGTTATTTTCTGCAGGAGTGTACTTTGCAATGACCCAGAGATCACTGTGGTTCCTCCAAATTTTCCCAGTGACACATCGAAGCTGCGAATTGAAAAGACAGCAATCACACGGATTTCAAGTGACAACTTCCACTACCTCAACAACCTGGAGTTTTTGTGGATGTCTTTTAATTCACTGAATTCCCTGAATGCGGACAGTTTCCGGGGTCTGTACAACCTGGATGAGCTCCGGCTAGATGGCAACTCTCTGACCTCCTTCCCCTGGGAGTCTCTGACTGACATGCCAACCCTGAGGCTCCTGGACTTACACAACAACAAGATCTCCGCCATCCCAGCCGATGCCACTATTTACATAAAGAATCTCACCTATCTGGATTTATCCAGCAACACTCTTAACACAGTTCCCTCTGAAGTTCTCACATTGTGGCTGAGTGTGAAGCCATCCCAGGAAGCAGATTCCTCTAAACTAATTCTTGGTGAGGATCAAGCGGTGACATATTGGGACACAAGAACTTATTATTTTTAAGCTGCCTTGCATGACGACCACTTCTTTGACATTAGAAGCATTTAAAGCTAAATTATGGATTAGTCTAATTATGTGTGTCATGTCGTAATGACGATGAATGTTTTCATTTAAAAAAACAGCCACATGTACTTGGTCCTGGTATTACTTGTTTTTGTTGTGCTTAGGAAAATGTACTGGACTATGGTGACAGAACCCTTTTTGTTTTACTGACTGCTGTTTGTCACTTGATTTCCCCTGCAGGTCTCCATGACAATCCGTGGATGTGTGACTGCCGACTGTACGATCTTGTCCAGTTTCAGAAATCTCCATCATCATCTGTTGCTCTCATCGACACCAGGCTGCGGTGCGCTGATCCAGAGAGTTTGTCAGGGGTTCTTTTCACTGAGGCAGAGCTGCAGAGGTGTCAGGGCCCACGGGTGCACACGGCCGTGGCTCGTGTACGCTCGTCACTGGGCAACAACGTCCTGCTGCGCTGTGGCACAGTTGGAGTCCCCATTCCCGAGCTGTCCTGGAGCCGCGCTGATGGCAAGAAGATGAACGGCACCAGTAAGTTCTGCTGATCTACTTCCAGATGTGCTTAGAATAGAACATTATCTATTTCTGTTGATAGTGAAAGTGTCAATGAGATTAAAGCTGTTCTTTTTGTGCTAATCTATTTAACTAATCACTGATCGTCTGCCCTTTGTATTATACAGTTCAGGAAGAGATTTCGAAGGAGGGCATCATATGGTCGATTCTGAGTGTCCCTGCAGTCGCCTACAGAGATTCTGGGAAATATGTGTGCAAAGCAACGAACTTCGTGGGCACTGCAGATGCCATTATCTCTTTGGTGATCACAGATTCCATTCAGTCGGAGGAATCGATTGCTGCTGTCTCCAAGAAAACAAGAGGGAAGAAACCTGGGGGCATGGGAAGAGCGGCATACCAGGAGAAACTTATTGCCAGATACGTTCCTCCACCAACCACCACTGCTGCTCGGCCCATAATCGAACCTCTAAATAGCAAAGGAGTCACTGGGAAGTATGAGATTGAGAGCTACAGCATCTCTGATGGTGCTTCTAAGGGTAAAGGCAAGGCAGCAGACCCTCAGAAACCGGTGGCCGCTCTGAGCAACCTAGCAGCCAATGCCTCATCCTTACAGCAAGTTCCGGAGAAAAGGGTAGTACGCTCGGTGAAAGTGATTGGCGACACGGACCATACTGTCTCTTTGAACTGGCGAGCCCCTACAGCCACAAACATCACAGAATTCAGCGTCCTTTATGCTGTATTTGGCGAGAGAGACATGCGTCGGCTGAACGTAGCCGCCGGGAAGAACCGAATCACCATTGCCAGTCTTGTGCCTAAAACAAAGTACATTGCTTGTGTTTGCGTCAAGGGCCTGATCCCGAAAAAGGAGCAGTGTGTAATCTTCTCAACAGATGAAGCAGCCAGTGCTAGCGGCACTCAGAAGCTCATTAATGTGGTGGTGATAACAGTGGCATGTGTGATCGCTGTCCCCCTGACACTGATCGTGTGCTGCGGGGCGTTAAAAAAGCGCTGCAAAAAGCTGCTGGGGCGAGAGTCCAAAGAAATTCAGGACTCATACGTGACATTTGAGACCCTGGGCCCCGGGGCCAAAGGTAAAGGGGTGGAGGGCGAGTATCTGACCAGGATGAACCCTGATGAATCCAACAGGTTGCTCTCAGCGAGGTCCAGCGTTGACTCCGAGTCCACAGCCAGGAACGAGGGGCCACCTAACGAGTACTTCTGCTAAAACCAAACAAATGCCTCAACTTCTAGATGATGCACTTTGTTTTCTAATGGTTTACGATGGGAATAGATTACTGCTGTGCTCAGAGACTTGAAAGACTGAGGACAGCGGACACTGATTGGATGTATGGAGTTGTTTTAAAGCCTTGTAGGAATAAAAACAACCATTCATTTGGTGGACCACGAAAAAGGGAAAATAAACACAGTGACACGGTTCATTTACATGTTGTGTACAGTATGTTTGTAATAAATAACTTTTTTTTGTATTCATCATGCACTTTTAAAGTTTTTTTTTGCAGAGGAAAATGTTGCCCTTAACTTTCTGAAATCAAATAATTTCAAGTTTTCCAAAATGTAACTTCTGCATTGTGTTAAAATCTGTTTTAAAAACTAAGTATTTAGAGAGATGATGAAGCAGCAGTTATAAGTGTATTTTCTATGTAAGTTCGTTAATGTGCCAGGTTTAATGTTGGGTCAAAAAACCTAAAATATTGTACATTTTATAATGTGTAAATATTTGTGACCAAAAATAAATGTCTATATACATGAATGTACTATATAAAAATAAACATTTTTCATATTGATGTATGCTCCCAAGTTTTTTCTTTCTTCGCAAAATATAGATTTTTAATAGAGCAATATTCATCTTCTTGACTGAAGCAAAAATTAGCTTGCTGGCACGTTGCATAATGCATATAGCTAACTAAAGGGACATTAAATGCTAAAGTATGGTACAGCCAAAGTCACTAAGCACTAATTTTGTGTTCATGGCTAAGTAGCACATGCTTACATGCTAAACTAAGACGGTAAACATTAGACCTGTTAGCATAGCTCTCAGAGCAGCTAGCGAGCTTTGTTTAGGCCTGTTAACATGTGAAGCATCAACCACACCTGCATTCTCTGAAAAAGATTTAGGTGTAATGAATTTAACTTGAAAGCCTAGAATATAAAGATGTGTAGATAAGTTAACAAAAAATCCGGAATCAAATTCCCTTAATCAGAACTAGCTCGATAGCATTATTTCAAGAAAATTGGCAATTGTCTCTGGATGAATTGAACTGCCATGCACGTAAACAAACACAATTATCAATACTTAACTTAAAATGTGTATGATAATATGGAGATTGCTGACATTACCAATAGCGGATTAATGTATTTGTCTGCTAAACTAGCATGCGCGGCAATAAAGAACATGGATATGTAGGAAACTCAAGGACTATAGATGTTGTCTGTTTTCACACTTGTTTTTTATGCTGATTTAACAACCTGAGAGATAACCAGTGTTCAGATTAGAGAGGTCATATTACAGTCCTCTCCAGACATCTGTCTCTCTATCTCTGTGCGGCCCTCCCTCTCCGTGCAGCTAAGCCTGACCGGCTCCGGCCCGCTTAATGGCCCTCCTGTCAATGCCTGTGCTTTGGTAGGGGACAAATACATTAAATACACTGGTGCTAAGCAATTTTGATTGAACATATTGTGTTGTCCTTCTTTTGAGCTAATCTGACGATGTTTTCCAGACAAGGTGTACTATTGCTATACCTTTCCTGTCTCCTGTGTGTCTCACATGTCACTCTGTGTCTTAAGTGTTACGTCAATGAAGATTAAAGTAATAGGCTTTCTTCCACGCCGCCCTTGTCCTGCCCTCACCGGCCTATTTCACATGCTCCTCCGGGAATATGGACAACTTTGGTGTCGCATTACGTATCACTTTGGTATTTTATCTTTTCACCTCTGGATCATCAACTTGTTTGACCGGTTGCTCTTGCACAGATGACAACTTGGGAAGGTAGGTGAACATTGAAACTATACAATCTCTTAAAGTAGGTTATGTGTTAACCCCATTGTTTTCAATGCTACCAGTTACCAAGCTCTTTGTGAACAATATCTTACAATTTGCACAAATGGTGCATGTCCATGAGTAGATATACAAAATAAACACTTTAATTGTCTACAAATATCCCACTTTTCCATTCTAGGTCTTTACTATGTATGGAAACCTCCATGGGACGAATCCCAGACAACATCCCACATGATTTCTCTAAAATCCGAATTGAAAACTGCCACCTGACCGAGTTACCGCGGGGATCTTTCTCTAAAGTTAGTGCCTTGGAGTTCCTCTGGCTAAATTTTAATGAGATCACCTTGATGAACGTTAAAAGTCTGGATGGGCTGGCAAACCTGACCGAGCTCCGGCTGCAAGGGAACAAGCTGACTTCAGTAACATGGACAGCGTTTCAGGACACGCCAAAACTGAAGATTTTGGACCTGAAGCACAATCGACTGGATGTCCTGCCCGAACACGCTCTGAGACATTTACCTGCACTGACCTACTTGGATTTATCCTTCAATCAGCTTAGTGTGATATCAAAAGATGTCTTCATTAATTGGCCTCTTTACCAAACTGCAGAAAAAACATGGGGGAAAGAAGGCGTGGTCTCAAATGTGGTTTTGGCACTGCATGACAACCCCTGGTTGTGCGATTGTCGTCTCAAAGGCTTTGTTGAATTCATCAGGGCGGTCAGCCCTCCCATCATTCTCATGAACTCTTATTTGATGTGCTCAGGCCCCGCCTCCAAAGCTGACAAGTTCTTCCATGAGATCCAGTTAAAAACATGCATGAAGCCAGTGGCCTCTGCCCCAGAGACTAACATCACTTTACCTCTCGGAGCAAATGCAACGCTCACATGCTTAGTAAAGGCCAGGCCAGGTCCAACCATTAAGTGGATGTACAGTCTGAAGATTATAAGAGGATTTGCGGGTAAGATTGATTTTTTATTACTACCATCCATTAAACTGTTGTGAACCTGCTCCCGGAGAACTTAGTGTGATGTATGTCAAACTCAGGCTGCATCTATAATGAAAAGATTCAGGAACAATACCGTTTCAGGGTTACCTTACTATGTCTATATCGCATGTAAACAAACCTCTGACTCTATGGTTTCTCCTTGCAGCCACAGAGACCAACACAGACGAGGAGACCATCACCTCAGAGCTGGTGATCCCCTCTCTTCACCTGGCAGACCAAGGACCTGCACTGCCAACAATTTCATTGGCAACTCCTCTGTCGCCATCACGGTTAATATCAGCCCCTTCAACTCCTCTGCTCTTCTCCCTCCACCTGTTCCCATGGTGTCGTCCGATGAGAATTCCAACATTGACATCCGCATTGCCAAGCAGACAGTTTACGGTATCACCCTCGAGTGGCACGCAGAAACAGACAACCTAGCAGAAACCTGGTTCACCATCCACTTTGGTAAATATGATTTACCCAAGAAGGAGATGATCTATATCGGCCCCGGCATCAACACCTACAGCCTCAACGACCTGCTTCCTGTCACCAAGTACGAGGTGTGCGTGACCTTAAAGAACCACAAGCCAAAGGAAGGCCAGTGCTTTGTATTTGTGACAGGAAGTGACATCAGTGAGCTGGAGCAAAGAGAGAGGCTCATCCACATTATCGTCATTGTATGCGCCATGGTGTTGGCAGTACCAGTGGGCATGTTCGCCTGCACCACGGAGGCCAGGTTCAGCTGCTTCGATCGCTGCGTGAATCTGTGGAAGAAGCGCAGGCTGCATGGGGGAAACCTCCAGGCGACAGAGAGGCAGGGGACCTTTGACAGCCTGCAGGCAGCCAGCGATGAAGGCCTGTGCAAGGACTCGGAAGAAAAGCCGAAAAAGAGGCGGAAGTCTGAGGACAGGTGCAAAGGAGGAAGTGCAGCTCAGCTCTACTAGAATCTAAATCTAAAACTGTACATAGATGTGTATTTGTAAATAATGTCAGTGTGCTTCCTTCTAATGTATCATGTTGCTGGTTGAGTCACAGGGCTGAGCATTCGGTTTTCCGGAAAAATACCGTAATCTTAAAAACTAGGATCATTTAACAAAGATTACTGCTGTTGTAAAGGTAGCTTCATAATTCTCAACATCTCTTTCAAACATCTGGATGAAAAAACACAAACACACTTTGAGAATTCTTGAATCAAGATCAATGATAAGTTTGAAACCTTGCATATTCTTTGAGATGTTTTTTTATTTGCAGGGTTTTTATTTGTCGGAAAACTCTGCGACTGAATTGTAACACTAACACATAACAGGCACAATCGGGCTATTTTAAGTTGACTCATTCTGGAAATATATATATATATCTCAAGCTAATAGCTCAAAGTGGGGATGCCTTTCTTCCTTATTATAAGGAGAGTTTGTTAATATCTGTGTTAATATACATGTACTGTACAGAAAGAACTTTGTGATAAAATGCATTTGATATTTCTGTAGTTTTGATACTAAATGAAAAAATATGCTAAATGTAAAACGTGTAAAAATCGATATTATGTACATTTTAACTCCCTCAAACTCAAATGTAATTGTTTGTTTTGGCTCAGGAGGTTTCAATTCACTTGATATAAAAAATAAATAAATCCTTTTTCATTGTGTTTCTTTTGGATTCCAGATTTGATGTCTTGTAATGGAATGAAATGCTGTTTGGATTAAAGGGAAGTCAGAGACAAATGCTCAGACATACTCAGATTTTTTTTATATAAGCTGTGTTTTCCCGTGCATTTATACATACACTCGTAAGCAGATTAAAGCGATTTTCTCTCTGAATCCTAGTCAGCAGGACATGATATTTCCATGTAATGACAGCTCCGAGCCCACTGTGTCTCTCTGTATCAATTGTAGGCATATAGAGGGTCTTTTTTTAAATTGCCTATTCATTTTTCAGTCTAATTAAAAAAATCTACTACTTAAATTAATACAATTTGACATACTATACACTGACATTTTTTCTAATATTTTTGACGTACTATACTATGACTTTTAATTTAAAAATAGTGTAGTACGTAACTCACTGATATATGCTATGTAGTCTTTTCAGATATTTTTGACATACTATACTATATCGTTTTTTAGATTTCTTCTACGTTTTATACTATGATTGTTTTTTTTTTACTATACACTGAGAATACACTTAACAATGCCATTACTTTTTATGTATTTTTTGACATACTATACCATGATTTTTGTTCAATACAATGACTTTTTTCATTATATTTTTGACTTTTTTCATATTTTCATTATACTATAATCTTTTCATGATATTTTCAAGATACCATACTTTGATTTTTTTCGACATACTAAACTATGACTTTTCTTTCGACGTACTATACTATGACTTTTTTTCCGACATACTATACTATGTTGTTTTTTCTGAAATGTTCGAGATACTATACTATGACTTTTCTTTCGACGTACTATACTATGACTTTTTTTCCGACATACTATACTATGTTGTTTTTTCTGAAATGTTCGAGATACTATACTATGACTTTTCTTTCAAAATACTAAACACTGACTGTTTTCTCATATTTTTGACATAGTATACTATTTCGTTTTTTCTGATATTTTAGATATACTATGATAAGACTTTTATTCGAGGTACTATACTTTGAGTTTTATTTGAAAATAGTATACACTGACTGATATCTGCTATGTAGTTATTTATGATTTCTTCCACATTTTGAACTATGACTTATTTTTCAAAGTACTCAACATACTATGTTGTTGTTTTTTGGGATACTATACTATGAATTTTTCAACAAACTACACTATTATTTTTTATAATCTTTATATAAATACTACATGATGACTTTTCTTCATATCTTTGTATACTATATTCTTTATAGTCATGACTATACTACATGTTGACTTTCTTCAACATACTACATACTACTACATGCTGAGCCCCAGACGGCCCCTCACATGTAAATATCACCCATGTGTGAGATCTGTTGTTTCTAAATGTTTTGTTTCTACTTTAAATTAATTAAAACATATTAAAAACTAATATAGCCTGGGGACAAAATGGAGCACAGACCAAATCATTTTTTAAATATTTATTCAAAATCAAGACAGTACAAAGACGGTACAAATGTTACTTCAAAGGACCAGGCAAGTGTTATTTATAGTGAAGATATATACTGTTTATCTTCAAGATATTTAAAATGAAAGATATAGTCAGATACAAGGTATGGGTTACAGCAATTAAATGTATTTTATTTGCCTACCTTTGAAGGCATTGAAGAGAAACATGGAAAGTAATACCTAAATGTTCAACGTAGACTTTTTATTTCTATACAGTATACAAAAGAAATGCCCAAGCATGTTATGTACATAGTTATCTATTCTTAAATCTTGTGAAGTTGGATGGTTTAATTTGTACGATTTACTTGTATGTTATGTATTGCTGCAAGATACAACAGAGACATATTTGTATCTTGTCATATATATGTACATTTCAAATGTCATTTATATAAAAGCATCTTTCTAGAATTAAACACTCAAAAGAATAACATTACATTGTTAGCTGTTTACTTTGAAAACCTACAGTGGCACATTGTAATCATACAAAATAGCAACCTCTCAGCTTTCAGACAACTGATGTAAAACAGTTAAAACATGAACAAACAGGTCATTTAGCACTTAATAAGAAGCAGTGTCATTTCTGACCGTGTCGTTCAGCTGCACGCTCTAGTGAGCAAGAAAAAAAAAAGTTCAAGGATTTTTTTCAGTTAAATCCTAAATCTGTGTTTAAAACACAATCAATTAATCTTTTCAGAGAGAGATGCAACTAATGTATACAGATTGAGTCTAAGTAATCCTCTTCCTGGTGCTTCTTACTGTTGAGACGATTACATCTTCCTCAAGATGGCAGTGTGGTGAGTTATGTCCCACTACCAGACACACACTACAGCTCTCTTGAGACTGATGATGCCCACTTGTTTAATACTTCATCTCAAGACGTAAATATCTGTAAATCTTCTTGTTACACTTCTCTTACCATTCAGTCATGAATGATCTACAGGTAGGCCCACCCTAATAGATCATCACATGCCGGAGACAACTTCCGGGCAGTAGAGAGTGACAGTAGTTACAGCACCTCAAACTGGGCGCTTGTTTGACAAAGCTAATAATTACTTTGGTTGCTCTCAACGATTTTCTGCTCAAGCCTCATTTTAAGCTCTGACACCAAAGCAGAGCTGAAATTTCCCTCTTTGAGCTGGCAATATTTAGCTTTTTTCATGGAGCCTTTCGATGCCAGCACACCAGATACTGTCGGGACCGCCCAAGGCCTCTCATTGGACCGTGTTACACACGGGGGCGGAGGAGCGCAGGGGGGTGGAGGCCTCATTCGGGGGCTGTTGGTTTTTCTATCTTGGTTGACTATGAGCAACTCATCAGGGTTATTGAATTTGACAACAGGTGGTTTGAAGATCCAGGGCTTCTGGTTCCTGGTTCGCCTCTTAATGATGCGCCGTGCTGGCAGGATCCTGTTTGACTTTAAGTTGCGCATGTACATAACTGTAGAGATCAAGACAGTCACCCCTACCAATAAGCTAATGACAACAATTACCATGCCTAGAGCTCTCATTGGATTGTCCCTACTTTTCATTAAAAAGGCCGCCATAGGCCCCTTGAGAGGAGTCTGTGAAAGAGCAAAATAAAACAAATGTTTTAATCAAGTCCAAAGGACAGAATCCAAGCGTTAACTGAGCATTTGTTCAAAGCATGCAAGCATGAGATGGATGCACAAAGCACTGATAGAGGAAGACCAAACAACAAGTCTATCAACAAAGTGATGCTCCCAAACTCACCCCTGTCTTCCTCCTGTCCTCAGCACAGGACGGCTAGTGCAGAGCTAACTATGCTAACACTAGGTGTTGGGAATGCGTCTGGCAGTGCGATGCATTAGGGTTTCTCTTTGGCATGTGACGTATGAGGGCTGAGTAAGAATGATAAAAGCTCATGAGGTCAGAATGAAATGAAGTGCATGTTTGTTTGAGACAAATGGACATAGAATCCAGGATTAAATCCAAAGAAAAGAGCTCGTCTTTGTCACTTGAAAAGCCTTAGAGTCTGAGTCATGCACTAGAAAAAAACATTTTAAACAATTGTGTAAAAATCTAATTTTCCATCAATTTGGAATATTTACCAAAAAAAAAACTAATAAAAAAGGTTAAAGAAAAAATAAGTTTATTGTTATATTAATCCTTCAAAAACGCTCCAGTACTCCTTTACACAACATAACCGATTCAAAATATATAGCTATCTCAAAGCTTTCATATATCCTATCACTTAATTCTGCGCACCACTTTGATATAGTTACTCTCTGGGTTGATTCTGGACCGTTTCACTGAGTCACAGTACAGGATTGTGGATATGCAGGTTGTTAGTAAAATGAGGGAAGTGACAATGCTGAGACAAATTCCAAAAACAGTCAGCGGACGCTTGCTGAGGCCCATGAAGTATGAAATAACTCGGCCTTTGATCTGAAAAGCACGATACAGAAAACAGAAACAACACCAAAGACAGGGAGTCAGCCATCATGCAGAGTGAAGGAATGGTAACAACATAAAGTAATGCATGGAATAATGTAAATGACTGAACCAGTTATAGGATAATGCTGCTGTTTTATTATATTTCAGCATTTTTTGATATTTTTCACCATTGTTGGTTTTGGTCTCTTCGTAGGACTTGATGCTAATTATGACAGCCACAAAATTATCAGCATTTTCCTTTAAAGAATATGAGATCAATGAAGGATGATTGGCTGAAACAATGATGATGAAATAGCATATGTGTAGCATGACAACAATGCCTATTACCATATGTTAAACAGCTGAATCTACAGCTCAAGCTGCCTAAAGCTTGCAATAGAAAGCGCTGATAGCATGCTGCGCGTCAGAACCAGCCTTACCGCCTCAGTGATATCGATGTTGACCACGGCCGTTGTGCTGAAGGATGGAGAGCCTCGGTCCCTGGCCTGGACCACCAGAGACCACTTGCAGTCCTTCTGCTTGGTGATGTTCTGCACAATCTCCATGGACTTGATGTACGGCTTCAGCTGGATCTCTCCTGTGTCTGCATTGATGTCAAACGCGTTGTCGGGATCTGCCGTCATGATGGAGTACTCGATGACGTTGTTCGGAGACTCTGCATCTTCATCCACTGCCTAGAGAAAGTAGCAGAAATAACATCAAATTGTTAGGCTGCCAGTTTCAAATCAATGTACTTAATGGAAATGTGTTTTGCAAATCACAAAGCAAGCCTACAAGAGTATTGGGATGAAGGTGATGTACAGTGTATTTCATAAGGACAGGAATCC